CCCCTTTCCCCTCCCCCCAAAAAAAATCCTAAATGTTTCTGGCATCTTTCTTGTTCAGGGTTCCGGCATTCGGAGGTCCAGGTTTTGGTCCTCGATTTCAAGCCCCTGGGGCGAGGTAATCCCCCACCATTCTCTGAATATTTTGGTGAAGCTATTGCGTTGTGTTCTCATTTTATTCGCTGTAGTTATTTACATACTTTGTTGTTAACTTACTCCAAACAGACCAGTCCCTAGCTTTGGTGATCCTATGAACGACCAAATTCCAACTCATGCTTGGCATCCAATGAGTCCACCAAACTTGGGACCATCCCCCAATGCTGGGATTCGTGGCTTTGGGGGCCATTTTCTTCCTAGGGCTGACATGGCTTTACCCTTGAATTCGGTAAGAATAATTCAATGATTGTCCTGCAACATTTTGCCATGAGAAACCATTATCTATTGTTATCTTTTGCGTTCTCTTAAGACATCCATCAAAGGCATATAGCATTTGACTTATCTGTAATGATTGGGCTGCAAATTAAGTGATTTGTTGGCATTGAAATGGAGTCTTGATTGAATAGTATTACAATGACCTTGTCATGTCATCTTCAGCTGAAGCGATGAAAGGATGGCTGCTGCAGCATTGAATTTTTCCTTTTTATTTAATTTATAATTTTCATGTTGTATATGATGCTAGTTTCTTGTTATGATTTTAGTTATAAATTTGTGGTTTTATGCTTTTAAAAGTCTTATTATTTGCTCCCCAAATATTTAGGGTGGCCATGGTGGCTCTGCAGAGGGTCCTCTTCCTGGGATGCCAGTTTCATCTTCTTTAACATCACAACAGGTATAAGGTGATCAAATTTTCTTTTAATTTACTTCGGACTCAAAAATCAAAACAATGATCTTTCAGTTTTCGTGGTATTTCATAGTGAAAATGACATATTGAATCTTTTTCAGAGTTGTAACCAGTCTATGCCACACGTCGGCCAGAAAATATCTCCAGTACAGAAGCCTATTCAGTCACCTCAGCATTTGCCACCTTACCTTCAACAGCACCCTCAAACTCCAGCATCATACTCACACACACAAACAGTAAGGCAGCTTGGCCAGGCACAACTTTCTCATTCTTCTGGTCAAACACCATTTAGTCAAGCATTACCATCACAACAGTTTATTGGCTTGGGCGGACAGTTGTCTGTCCCTCAGCCTGAGGTCCCAAAGAATGCATCTTCTGCTACAACACTACCAGCTCCTTTGAATATTAACTTACAACGCCACTCCATGTCCTCCACAACAAATCAGCAGCAGCTTTCTTCTGCTCCTCCTGTCCAGCAACCACTGCTTCAGCCTCTTCAGCAGTCACCGTCTCAGTTAGCTCAGATGCTATCACAACAGACACAAACTCTGCAGGCAAGCTTTCAATCATCTCGGCAGGCGTTCTCCCAGCTCCAACAACAGTTGCAGCTAATGCAACCATCAAATCAGGGTTTGGCACTGCATCAGATTTCCCAGGCTACTAAACAGCAACAGGTATTCAAACATTAGATGCTACAATATTGTGATCTTGTAGAAATATATGGTAATAGGATGTGCTAGATGTGATACCATGATGATGTAATCTTTAGCTATTCTTTCATGGTCTTGTCTTAGTTGCTTAAACAAATCAATTGCATGAGCTGTGGCTCTAGAACTGCAGAAGCAATGTTAAATAGATTGAAAAAAAATGTGACCAGTTAGTGAGAAGTAGATGTGGAAGTTGAACTTAATGTACATTCACATTAGTGAGCTTTGGCTTGGGATTTATCTGGCATCTGTAACTGGGCCTCATAAGTGATGGATCTTAGCTCCTGCATGCATATGTCCTATTGATGGATGTTGGTTGCCTGTCAAATGGATAAAACATTTTGACCAGGCTGTTGTTGATATTAAGCTTCCTTTCTTATTTGTCAAATCTAGAAGCTTTCGCCCTATACCATCTTTGCATTTGTAGAAGGCAAATTGTCTGTGATGTTCTTTTACTTTTAATTGTTTTGATAGATTATTATAAATAAACCCAATCCTAGGCATGTATTTATAAAAAAAACCCACACACTATTTAAACATAGAAACACACCCAAAATCAACCCCAAAATCAACAATTGTATATTTTTTGGGTGTGTTTATAAATGGGTTTTGAGTGTGTGTAATGATGGGTTTTGGGTGTGTTTATAAAGTGTTTTGGGTGTTGGGTTTTTTTATAATTTCAGCCCCCATTTTGGGTGTTTTAGTGAAACCCCCTTGTTTTTATCAACTCTTAAACTCATAAGCTGAATTTTATTTTTGCTCCTGCCGTCCCAGTGGACTGGGGCTGTACCACAGACAGTGGCCAGCACTGCTGCTGCCACACCAGCTGCAGATGTGCCTTCAGCCACATCTGTTGCTCCTGTAACCCATACTACGGCTCCTGCAAAATGTATTTGGACAGAGCACACCTCCCCAGATGGATACAAGTACTATTATAATAATGCTACTGGTGAAAGCAGGGTAAGGATTTTTTTCATTACCTCTGGTTTATTTCTTGACTTCAATGTGGCTAATGCTGCTTATATGAACTTGTAGTGGGAGAAACCTGCCGAGTTTATATTGTTTGAGCAACAGCAGCAGCAACAAAAGGCATCAGTTCAGCAGGCTCATACCCCATCACTCCCTCAAAATCTCTCTGCGCAGCAAGTTTCTCATAATCAACAGCTGCATCTTCAACCACATCTTCGAACTAACCTGCATTTACAACAGCCATCTTTCACTGCATCGGTAAGTGTTTTCTCATGGTTTCCGACTTATTAAAGACTTGGTTCTTTCGTTAATAACTCATTAATTTGGAATTCCAGTACCAGGCTTCACAGGCTTCTGGAATTATAGGTCACCAAAATGTTCAGGTAAATTTCACTCACTGTTACCAGGATATTCACATTTTACAAGAAATTTGCAATTATATAATGATTCTCGCTAAACAATCCATATACTTCTAGGTTTTGTAATTGGTTTTTTTCATCATTTGGGTCTCCAGGAATTTGGTTATTCACAATTACCTACAACTAGTTCAGTTGGTGATCCTACACGCTTCCAACAGGTATTCAGTTTTTAAATTTATTGCTCAGTTTATTTTGTGTATCACATTAATTTTAGTTCTCTGTTTCTTTCCCAGGGGCTTCAAGCTGCGCAGGAGTGGATGTGGAAGAATAAGCGAACAGGTTCTGATAAATTCTTCTGGTTGAGATTATGATGTCCGTTTTTGGTTTACTAGCCGACCTAGCAAGATAAAGGGGTTTGTAAGGGTTAAAATGGAGGTTGCTAGAAAGGGATTTCTTGGGGGCCTGGGGCTTTTATTGTGCCCTTAAAAATTCATCTGTGTTGTATGTCATAAGACTCGCTTTTATTGGGCCACGTTAGAGCGGTTGATGTTTGATTTTGAAGCATGGGCCTTTAAGATGCTTCATGGTCTTCTGTGCCCAGCTTGATTGTGCTTTGCATACAAACTGAAACACTAGACTCGCTTCATGTGCACTGAGCATTGTCTATCTTTTATTACTGTTTATCCCTTTCAAAATCAGTGAACATTTTTTTTCTGTTCAATCTCCAGGGGCATGAAGTGGTTGAGCAGAGACTAAGGTGGCACACTGGCAAAAGTATTTATTCTCGGAGGAAGCTGAGTGAGGGATCTGTATCAAACTTTCGCGACGATGGCAGCCAGGGTCCTTATTAGAGCTTGAAGATGCTCAGTGGGATGTGTAATGGGAACGTTTTCTTCAGCCCCGTAGTTTCTTTTTTGTGAGATTTTACTGGCAACAGTTACTGGCTCACTGAATTGAGCACGTGTACCATTAGTACTGGGCATCCAAATGCCTTGAATGAGATGTAGCATATATTTGTATAACATAAAATACAATAATGAGTAGATATTTAGCTTAGCCTATATTGAAACGAAAAGGTGGCCATGGTGTCACATCATTTGAGTTATAATTGATGGGCTCCATGCCTTTTTATGTTACCAAATGATGGTGGGGAAGACGGTAGCTTTGTTACCAAATACCATTTGGAAAACATTTGGTTAAGAATGTTATTTCCATTATCACCATTAGCAGTACAAAGCTTCCTAATTTGAGTACACCATTGATATGCCTCTGTTGCGTCCCACTGTAGAAAGTGGTTACCACAGTAGGCTAAAAAGATTAATTGACACTTCGACAGTTCCGACGAATCTCTCCCTTCGTCCCAGTAACTGGTCCCAACCTTCCCAGTTTGATCATAGAATCTTTGAAGTCTTGGAAGAAGGTAGACAAGTCCTGTGCATAGGTCTCTACCAGTTCACGCGTTTGCTCATCTCTGGTCACGAGATTCTGATCGGATGGAAGCAAACCCTGCCCAGAAAGTAGGTTAACGTAGTATTGGTTATCAAACGTTTCTGGGGTTGCCAGGTCAAGGTTTGCCAGTGTGCTGCCGTCGGATACCGAGCATAGCTGCTGCAGTGACTGAATGAACTCCAGAGACGCCTCCGGGGCATTTGGGTTGGTGGAGTCTTGTAGGCGAGCAGCAAAGGTGGTGCACCGGGCTTTCCCCATTGTGTGTGCACCTGCCAAACAAGAAGAGAAAAATGGTGATCTTGTTTTGTTTTCCAATCAAGAACAATGCAAGAGATCAATAAAGGAAAGTTGAGAGTACCAGAGAGTGCAACCATGTCCTTCAAGCTAAGGTTTACGTTCTGGAACTTGGCAACCAGGTTTCCAATGGTAGAATTCGGGCCTGGGATGATGTTATTTGCTAGTGCTTTGCTAGCAGTCAAGCTGTCCTTCCTTCCCATTTGGACATCCCAGCTTGGTCCACCGGACTGCGAATTGAAGTTCAAATTATTAGTCAGAATCCCATGTTAACAACAGTTGCAAGAATATCTAAATTCTAAACTCTCAGAGCACACACCACAACAACAGAGTCTCTGGCAGCAGTTGCCAGAATGTCAGCACAGGAAACTGTTTGAGGGCAAACAAATTCAAGTTCCTGTTTTATTGCATCAATCACTTCAAAACCTCTCAGAGAGTTCGAGTTTGGTGCTGCCGTTTTCTCACCAACAAAGTTGTCACTGTCATCTAGTAACACAGAAGCATCACACCCCTGCACAATTCAGCACACAACATATTAATATTATTATTTATATGCTCATTCAAATAATAATAATAACAACATAACACATATATAAACAGTGCAAACAAGAGATAACATGCATTAACAAAGCAGTCATGGAAATGGAGACGAAGCAGAGAGGCTGCCATTCTCGTGTCCTGAAACACTGCCAATCTGACCCGAGCAAATATTATGGCCTCTGCCTCCGGGCAGATATCTTTGAACAAATCACTCCCCAAGAGGTCACCACAATCATCATCACCACCATATCCTTCACCCGTGGTTTTCGGAACGATTGCAAGAAACATTGCAAGGTTCAGCAATAGTGAAAACAGAGCCAACTTATTCATGGCCATTTTTGTATCCTTTCTTCTACTCTCTTCTCTTGGTATGCAGTGAAAAAGTGAGTCAGGATGGTACAAGTTTCTGCGTTATATAGAAGTTGAATGAGAATCTGTTCAGTAACAAAAAGCAGACTTGGTCATTGAGGTTTGGTTTTCGAGAGGGTAAAAGAGGTTAAATGAGCAGAGGGGTAGTTAAGAAGACATAGTCAATTAACCTTTTTAGAAGAGGTCCATGTGCTTCTTCTTCATGCTGCTTTTCCCTTTTTTCAGGCCTCTCTCTGATATTCTTAGATATATCATGCATTAACTGAGGCAGTAGAGTTTCCTCAATCGTCCAGTGTAGGTTGTTTCTATTGATCAGTATGGTCTTTGCAATTTTAGGAACCTAAAATTTATGTCATTATTTTGGGATGATGGAAATACCATCTTCTGGGTTACAAATTAACAAATCTACGAATTTAAGTATAATCATTCCATTGCCGTTAAAAGCATATCATGAAGTGGAAACATGAACTCATGCATTCCAATTGGATATTTTCAAAATTTCGTGGCAACATTTCTTAGCTAAACAAAACCCTTCAAGGCAGGTTTAGAATAACCTTTTTTTTAAAGGACATTTCCTATTGAGGGAAGCGATAATATACTAAACTCACATGGACTATACGGATATTAGGACTCCAACCCAGACCTTTCATGGGATCCTAAGAGGAAGTAAAGTGGTTTCAATGAATAAGCAACTATGAAACATCAAATGACACTACCTAGCAGTAGTAGGTTTGGGCTGTATATTTGGTCTCTTCATTTGGTTGTGGATTTGGGCTTTTAATTTTTAGGACCTGCCCAAATTTGCGAAAAGAGTGGTTGGTTGCCCATGACTGTAACTGTAGCCAAGCTTCACATATGTGCAGATGGAGTGAAGGCTGAACTCTTTGTTGCTATATAGAATAAAAGTGATGGAAAATATATCGATCGTCTATTGGCACTGCCCTTGTCTATTTTCAACAATTAATAAAGTACAACGATGGATTTATATTTATGCAATAATTTGGCATAAGGGGGAGGGGGGGGGGGGATCTACTTTTGACGAATTGTAACTTGAAAAAAGCATTTGGTTTTCCTTTTCCAAATCAATATCAATAGAAGATGTCACGCATCAAGGCTATATGATATGATCGGTCCCCTGTGACATGATTTTGGACTGTGCAGACGCACTCACAATAATTAGCTCAAATTCGAGAGGTTCTTCGAATTGGTTAAAGGTGGCATGCAGCAGTGAATTAAATTAATGGGCATCGAACTGAGAGATCAGACTTGAGCATATTCCAGTGGTGTTTGAATCAATTTACACAAAGAATCTCCAATGGGGCCTTTTTTTCTCAATATATACAGACCTTTGGGGTTCCTTTAGGCATCTGATTATCTGGGTGGCATTTAGCTTGTCGTGCTGCTGCATGTGGAAGGAATTAAGGAACCGACTTTTCTAAATATGGTTTCTGTTTTTTTCTGCAGTAAAAATTATAATCGTGCTGTATAATATTTGGTTGGTTTGGTAAGATGTTTCTTTCATTTCATACTATATCTTTTTTTTTTATACGAACGATACTGGGGATGGGAGGGGGAATTGAATTCATACTATATCTTACACATTAAGAAATTGCAAACACATTGAATATATAGTTGCTGGTCTTCAATGGTAACCATGCATATATGTGATCCATATTTTTTGACCCATGAAATCGATGTATGTACTAATGGGTGCAGAAAATCCAGGGAGAAATGTCCAATTCCGGATGAAACCAAAACTCAAAGACTTGGAAAATTGTATAAAAGCTATAGTAAATTTGACAAAAACTTTCACCAGTTTGATTTCTTGGGTTTGAACACATAGAAAAGCACGAGTGAGACATTTTTTCCCAAGACCTCTACAAGTTTTTCAACATATCCGTTTTGCTACACGCGTACGGTTCCCCAGCTGTGTCTGAAGCAATGCCACTAAGAAAAGGTTAACTTCAGATCATGCTCTTCCTAACCCAAATCTTCACTTCTTTTTTTATAGTAAAGAAAAACAATTAAAATCGGAAACCACGCGGGGCACGCCCAAATCTTCACTTGATATGTATATTTTCCTATACTTTTCTCCATGCGACGGCATCCGGAGGAATATTGAGATAATGCATGCATGGTGCAATTGAAATAGTTTTTCATCTAAAGTTCATCTCTCTTATATATATAGCTGAGACATAAACACTGTGGCTTTAAGTCGTGTGTGGCTTTTAGTAGCACAAGAATTCAATACCATCCCTGGCTAGCAAAGACAGCACGATATGGACAAGGACTTGATGAACTAGAATTGGTAAGAAAACCCCATATTATCTTCAGCAATCCTAAAAGCAACCCACATTGCACACCAAAATCTCGCACCATCCTCTCAAATCCTATTTCTTTGCCAAGAAGTTCACTCCATTCTTAAATGACAAACCCATATCTATTACTCAAAGAGGAAGAGAATGTCATTAAATAACAAAGTTAGTGTATTCATGATGCATATACATACGTATATAATCACAAATCCATCATCCATATCCATGCATGCTCGAAGGTATTAATTGCATTTACTTTGCGATCTAGTCTGTGTTTTCATAACCATCCTAATACTACACCTTTAGGGTTTCCCACCATTACTGACCGAAAAGTATAGGATCAAGTTCCCATGTTCATTCTAGATTCTACCTTTTTCCCATAAAGTCCTACAATAGTAGACATGGAATACAAGGTAAAAACCTCCAAACCTGATTGCTTCGCTTATATTAATACTAAAACCCTAACCTAGTTGTGATCGTGACAACTTTACCACCTTGATTAATTGATTCTAAGAAGAGAAGTAGATGAAGACGGATGAACAGCTAATGAGGAGAAACCAAAAACAAAAAAAAAAGGAAAAATTATATACAAAAGCCAGTTAACAACTCCATGAAGATATATATTCTAAGTACAAAGAATAACATGAAAAGCTCAAGTACGAATAAACCAGTCCCCCAACAGGCCAAAAGGCTAGTAGTGATTTTACAAAGCGAATTAAAATCTGAAAGGTGCGCAGCGCAGGTACACTAGCTAAGCTAGCTATTCGATCCAAAATGGTGATGAAGTGAATTCTTCTTTTCTAAAGATGAACCCAATTAAGTAGTAGTCTAGTCAGTTAGAAAATTACATACCAAGCCTGCAGCAGCACTTAACACATAAAACAATCAATATTATGATGGGGATCTATTGATGATGATGATCTTCTTCTTTGGCCTCCTTTCGAATCTGTGGCACGATGTCCTGAAGAAGTCCATGGTCTCTAAGCAAATTAGAAGCCGCAGAGGAAGAAGAAGAAGGTGATCCAAAATTATATCTCTCTTGAAGTAAACCAGTAGAAAATGAGGAGGGGTTAAAAGCACCACCCCCATAACCAGGTGAGCTAATATTCAAAGAAGGGGCTGAGCTATAAATATACGAATACTGCGGCTGCAGTTGTTGTTGTTGTTGTTGATAATGATGATGAGGTAATAACTGTTGAACACCAAAAGGAGATGAGGAGAAGGCAGAAGGCTGGTCAGGCAAAGGTGCAATCCCCATGGTGCCACGTGGCGTAATGGGGCTTGGATGGGTGTGCTGGCCTTCGTATGTTGTGACCACAGTGGAAGGGTCGTCGGAGGACCTCTCCACCCTCTTCTTCACACCACAGGCCGCTGTGGTGCAACGATAATAGCTCCTGTTACACATGAACATATAGATATTAACATTTTTAATTGTAATTATTGCGTGCCCCATAAGAAATTAACAAAGAAAATTTGCATCGAAATACAAGTTTTGTATTTATTATAAGTACATGAATGATTGATTGAAGATGAATAGGAGGATGAGAATGAAGATGGGGTTTGGTAGTGTATGGATATTGACCTGGGATAAGGGCTGTTTTTGACAGCTTTTTGGCCGTACTTGCGCCATCGGTAGCCATCATCTAGGTTATCAACCTCACTCTTGGTCATGAACGCAAATCTCGGCTCTCTTTGCCTTTTTTGGTTCTTCTTTTTGGGCTTCAATCTGTGATTCAATCACACAAAAAGCAAACGCAACTTGTTACTACTTTCTCCATCTCATCAACAAAACAAATAATAAAAATTCATCAAAATCAGAAAAGGAAACAACAACATGAACTGACCCCTTCAAAAAAGAAGAAAAAATCATCTTCCCATATGCTTAATTAGTTCACACACAACATCACGCAAAAAAGTTGATTCATCCATTTGATTTTCATAAAACCAAAAAAAGGACAAAAACAAAAGGACAACATAAAACCTTAGCTAGTCTTACTGTTTCTGGGTTTTTTCGGGATCTTGGTTCTGCTCATCAGCTTCCTCATCCTGAGCCTTGGTCGTCGTCTGGTCCTCATTCTTATTGCCAGCAGCTTCATTGGACGACGAAGAGATTGAAGAGGAGTTGGGCGTCGTAGGAGCCGTACTACCGTTCAGCACCTCCGACGCCGTACTCTCCCTCTCCGGCAGAGCAACTGCAGTAGGGGTGGAAGCCGGAGAGGCAAGTGGTGGTTGTTGTTGCTGTTGGTGGTGAGGTGGCATCATCACCATCATCATCGAGGAGGAGGAGGACGTCGTTTGGGAAGAGGAGAAATCGAATAAAGAAGGGGGCATGTTGAAGTCTTGAAATCCAAGCAAGTCCATGAACCCAGAGCCTCTCTGATTATTATCAGACATGTCAAATATGCTGCCGCCTGATGATGCAAAAGAAGCAAAGTTGCTGCCTGGAATAATCTCATCCGAAAAAACAGTGGAATTCGCCATGCTAATTTGATCGATGGTCGTCTTTAGCTCTCCTGTTTCTCTACCATCCATGGATTTTTAAATCAAGAGCACATATTCCTCATTTGTGAACTTGTTCTCCAAGTCTGAGCGATGAGAGAGAGAGAGAAAGAAAGAAAGAGAAAGAGAAAGAGAAAGGTAGATAGAGAGAAAGTGAGTGATATTTTTTTTCTCTCTTTTTTTTGGTTTAATATATAAAACGAATGGAAATGTTTTTGAAAGTGTGAATGGACTTGGGCTGGGATTTTGGAGAACAGCTTGGCTCAGAGGCGTTTCCCACCCAGAAGATGGAGACGACCGCCACGTGTCGGTTATCATTCAAGCGTACGGAAACCTGTCGATGGGACGGTGCCGAGCATTAATTGCTGTGCATGGATGGGCCCCGCCCGGTGTGGGGGGCCACCCTCGCTTAACGCGGGTTTTTGACCGGTGAACCGGCTGAGTCTGTGTCTGTATGTAGAATGTGGAATTTGGAATGTGGACGAGGGCTTTGGCCTCTGCAAGTACACGTGGCCTACTAAAAAAGGTCCCGCTTCTCTGCATGCATGTGCATATATCTTTTCTCAATCCCTCACCCTTTTCAATTTTATTTCGCGGCTTTTGCCTTTTTAACTTTTCACGCCAAAAGCTTTTGGATTGTTTTCTCGCTATCTTTTCTCGTTCTATTTTATAGAGCATCTGCTTCAACAAGTTTGAAAAAAATATAAATTTTAAATTTAGGAATGAATTAACATGTTTGAATAATTTGGACTCAACGGTTGATGCATGCCTAATGACCTATAGTGAGTGAGGAGTGAGGACCATGAAATGAAAGTAAATAATAATTTTTTTTAAAAAAAAATATTATGCATGTCTTTTTCGTTAATGATGTGTTTTCTATTTTCTTTTTATTTTCCATGGATGTCTCTGTCTTCATGGTTCACGCCATCAATTCTTACGTTTTTATTTTTAACTTATAATTTGGCACATGAGCCATGTGTCTCTCACCTCTTCGGTCTTCCCACAAATCAAAATGCGATCAAACCTAAACTTACGTACTTAAACTTTTGGAAAAAAAATTATTTAATTATCACCCTTATTTCTAAAATGATTTTTTGGAGAAAATAATGCAAATTTTAAATTTTTTTTTAAAAAAACTGTCAAGAATATAGATGACAACGGTTATTGTACGATGAACATCAATTTCCTCCCTCAGTTTATATGACATTTATGATAATAAGAAAACTTGTACTTTTTTGGTGTGAATCCATTTGTTGTCTTGTTTATTGATTAAAAGACAAAGTCCAAGATTTCTTTACTTTTTGTGCGCAAACTATTCTTTTCTTTTTTCTTGAAGAGATTAATGCACGGATTGGTTGGTGGTAAGGTTAAATCCTTTTCCTCAGAGTATCACTGGCCCATTCATGCTATTTTCTTTTCCATTTGTTTCAATCACTAGAAACATTATTTTCATTCAAACGTGTATAATTTAGATATATATACAGATTTTCTCCTATACAGACGTCTAGAAGCGTCCGGACGTTAATTTGCATATCTCAAAGCTTGAAGAAGTGTCATAATCTCAAACTATGTGGTCCTAATAGATAAAATTAAATATTACAGGAACTTCATCGTCAATTTAATTTCATGAAGGAAATTACTAAATAATTCTCCAAGGAAATGTATTATTATTGTCGTGAAACCAGCCTTGCGACGACATAGGGCCCCTTTGTTCAGAAGTCGATGTGAGACAATGAAGGCTGGTCCCTCTGCCTCCATACGCGTAAATAAATACATGAAAAAACTGAATAAAGCAAATACTAAGATCTCTTGGATTCTTTTGTTTAAAATATCAAGGTGAAAATAGTATAAACATGGGTTTTTCCAATAATTTATCTCGATAAAATCGCAATAAATAAATAAATAAAACACAGATGCTTTGGGATCCCACGTGTCAAATCGGAAGGTTCAGTTTTATCCGATCAGGCATTTGAAAGCACTTGCACTTTACGCGGTTTCAGTAAATATATATATTCTACGATTGCTTCCATTACACGCCCTCTAGTACCTCTAGATACAGCTTTTTCATTTTTCTTTACATTTGCTTTTTCCATATCAATCTAGGTTTCAGTATTTAATTAGATATGTCACGTTTTCTATAATATTTTTCTTAGTCTTCTGGGGAATTTCTTTTCCGTTTCGTTTCTTCCATACATGAATCATTATGTATGACAATCGGGGTTTCGTTTATGTTCATCTAGACTATGCAAACATTAATGAATTTACCTCAAATATTTCCACATATATATTGACTAGTTAGAGTTTTGTTATTATTACGCAATCACGACTTCATGTTTATTCCAACTTCTAGGTGCATACGGAAATTATTAGAATTTGAGTATTCAACTTAAAATTAATTCCTATAAAAAAAAACTTAAAATTAATTGAAAACCATGGGCGCAGGGGCTTAATTAAGATCTTTATCCAGAAGCAATTCCATATATGTATATATGCTTCTAACAACATTGTTACAAGGAGGGCCATGCCAACTTTTTATTAGCCAAGTTCTAAAGTTATGACATAAGAGAGATCATAAAAAGTTGTGGTACTTTGAGGCTTGGGATCAAGCAGCAAAAAGGTAGATATTACGACTACTGAAAACATCATTCCATAAAGAGTAATAGCTAATATATTTACCCTCATTATAGATCTCCTTTTACTTAACAAGGTTTCCAAACTTGCTTTTGTGTTTGTTTGGTAACTAAAGCATTCCACCCTTAATTATTTTACGACTACTGAAAACATCATTCCATAAAGAGTAATAGCTAATATATTTACCCTCATTATAGATCTCCTTTTACTTAACAAGGTTTCCAAACTTGCTTTTGTGTTTGTTTGGTAACTAAAACACTCCATGCTCGTATTTAATATGTCTGAATTTACAGCTTGTCTACATGCTCGTCTTCTTAGCATTAAATAATTTCAACAAAAAAAAAAAATTTTAATCACCGCAAAGAAGTTCGAAGTTCGATGTTAAGGCCCTGTTTGGTATCCTACTAAAAAAAGTAAACTAAAAAACTATGATTCTTTTTAAAAATATAAGTTTTCAAATAGTGATTTTAATATCTAAAAACTTATTTGGTATCGAACTCCAAACAATTTTTAAGATTTAAAAAAAATTGAAATTAAAAGCAGAAAATCAGAAACCCTAATCCCCAAATGGAAATTAACAAAAGAAAAGGCAAAGGATGTGAGGCATAAACCCAATCAATTTTGGTGGTGCGAGAGAGAGAGAGAGAGAGAGAGAGAGAGAGAGAGAGAGAGAGAGAGAGAACCCAATCAATTTTGGTGGTGAGAGAGAGAGAGAGAGAGAGAGAGAGAGAGAGAGAGAGAGAACTATAAAATTTCACTTTTTTTGTTTTTAATAATAAAGGTGTTTTTGAATTTTTGTTGGGTTTGGCTTTTTAAACACATGCCTGCCAAACAGGTTTTTGGGGCATCTGTTTTTGAGTTTATAAAATTTGATCAAAGTAGGATACCAAACGAGCCCTAAGGCCATCTCCAGCTGTGGGCTATATCCCAAATATAGCTCTAAAATAATGCAAAACCATCTTCATCCATGGGATAAATAAAATTTTGGCCAAATTTGGCCCTTTAGCCCTCCAACCGGGTCACATGTAACCTAGCTTTGGCCTAGGCCAAATTTTTTGTGGACCCCATGCATATACTGTTGAAGAAGATAAATTATCAAGTGTGAGTAAGAGCACGAATCATCTCGTGCAAATGCATATCTAATAGCCAACATTAAAAGTGCTGATGTCATCGATGATGTCAGCTGGATATATAGATATATAAGCCTTTTTAAATGTTGTTGTTTAAGAAAAATTAATGGTCATGACCGTTGGAGGTTAGACCATTGAAACCCATAATTTTTTTTTTTGTTAAGTGTGGTCACCTTTTTAAATGTTTTCAATTCATGTTATTTAAGAAAAAATTATAAAAAATTATTGGTCATGACTGTTGGAGCCCGAAAAATTATGTTTTCAATTTTTAAATGTTTTAAATGTTTTAAATGTTTTAAAATGTTTTAAATGTTTTCAATTCATGTTTTCACACATACTTTTTAAATGTTTTAAATGTTTCAATTCATGTTATTTAAGAAAAATTATAAAAAAAATCAACACGTGTTACTCGAAAATCATAGCCCGAAAAATTATTAAGATTCTTTCAGGATAAGACGTGCCACGTGGACACAAAATCTTATCAGAAATCTTGTCATATATGGAATATTGTCTCTAAAAAGTAGTTTAATTAAATTAAACAATACATAGTTGTTGAATGTATGAGTGTTGTACCATAGTTTTTCTCAAAATAATAAAATATTAAGAATCCTAAAATATAGCCATGCATGGCTGGAGATAAAAAAATTTAACCCTGCACTATTCTTTAAAAAATTAATATTTTGAAGGACTAAATTTTTAGCTATGGACTATATTTAGTCCTGTGAGTAAAGATGGCCTAAGTAACCTAGTATATTTTGGGTTGAAGTTGACTCCGTTTTGCTTGGTGGGTAAGTTTGGGAGTACGTGTGCGTGTGAGAGACAAAAGCAGAGGTAAATTCCTAAATAACTTACAAGAGTAGGTTTGGTTTGTGTGTTTATATTCCTTTCACATGCAGCTCAATAAGAATGGAAGGAAACATGCCATATCTATCCTGCTATTTGGAGAGCGTGCAGAGCACGAGATGCATTGGGGCGTGGTGTTCTTAAACTCCCCTATCCCCTAGGACATATCGAAGAGGGGAAGGCGACCCATAATTTAATTTTTGACAAAAGAGAGAGAGAGAGAGAGAGAGAGAGAGAGAGAGAGAGGGTTTAGGGGTTTCCGAGTCTGTTGCTGTACCCGGCGATATGTCGGGTGTGGGGAGAGAGAGAGAGAGGGAGGGTTTAGGGGTTTCCGAGTCTGTTGCTGTACCCGGCGATATGTCGGGTGTGGGGATCTGAAAATCTCCAAGAAAAAACGCAGAGGTCAATAGTCAAACCTTTGAATATATGTTAGCTCAAGGACACAAAACAGCGTAGTCCCTTTTATCTTTTCCTTTTCTTTTCATTTCATTTTTTGTTTGCAACACACAAAACAGCTTCCTGGGGTTGGGGGTGTGGCTTATCCTTGAGTTAAATGTGCTTCCTGGGTTGTTGG